TGTTTGTGTGTGTGTGTGTGTGTGTGTGTGTGTGTGTGTTTGTGTGTAGTGTGTGTGGGGGGGGGGAGCGTAGCACAGCCAGAAAGGCGATGGCGAAATTTCCATCGTGAAGAGCTGCGTACCCATTAGCCTAGCTTTCCTATAAATCCACTGACCAGGACAGGTAGGATTTTGCTGGACGTATGTGATCGACGAGTTGACCACATTCGTCAAATTCAGTTTCAGTCCCGGTCTGAGTAAGCCCTATACAGTTCAGGTCGATGAGAGAGAGCCTGAAAAAAAAAGAGTAAATGGAATTTACATCGCGAATTCATCGATGATGAAGTCCACGCCATTTCCATCGCCTTCTGCATCGTAGTCCTCCTCCATTTCGTTTCTCCACACCGACTTGCTCCTAAGGCGCAAGACCACTACAGGCGTAACACGTGACAACCGCGCACTTGTTGTCCGTTTTCACATGGACCAATTCTGACTCTTGGAACCTCAGTTGGTTTCTCCAAACCGACTTGGTATAGGGGCAAGACCAAAGACCACTCCAGGCGTGACATGCGACAACCACGCACTTGTGGTCCGTTTCACATTTCACATGGGCCGGATGTGACTCTTTGGAGGCTCAGTTGCTAAGCACAGGACGGGTCTTCGCGCACTACTCACCAACAAACATGCAAAAAATGGAGACTGCATCTTTTTTTTTTTTTAATTTTAAAATGGTGACGGCCTTGAGATATTATCATTGAGCTGACCGGCCCCAAGCAATTCATTAGTAGTTGGTTTCACTTGTCAAATTCCATCATCTGGATTCAAACACAGGTCTGTATTTCAACAGTTCATGGATGTACCCACTGAGCTAGGCTCTTGGGGTGGAATGGAAAGATACCGGTGGGTCGGCGTCATAGTTTTTGTCCTTTTCACATTTTTTGGTGAGCAATACAGCCAGAGCCTAACTGTTCGCAGCCCGTCAGGGTTGCGTTTTCCACCCCTGAGATTGACTTACCCTGAGGGCACGGGTGTGCAGCCCGTAGTTCGTTTGTTGATGCGGTTCGGGAAGGGTAAGGTAGTGATTATGCTGTATGTATGTTTTGTTGTGTTCGCTATACACAACTCGAAGAGAGTGTGTGTGGGGTCCCGGTTGGTGCTTTGTTCACGATGTTCATGGGACTCTGGACCCAGTTTTCAGCAGGTGGTGCTCCCCATCAATAGACAGGAGAATGTGTGTGTGTGTGTGTGTGTGTGTGTGTGTGTGTGTGTGAGAGAGAGAGAGAGAGAGAGAGAGAGAGAGAGAGAGAGAGAGAGAGAGACCTGCCACATGCAGCATGTCAGTGGCGGGGAGCACAAGGGCAAAAAGTAGTAATTGTATTGGAATACAAGAGTTTTTTTTCAAAATCTGAATAAAAAGGGTACACGTTGTACTCGAATACAACGCGTACGATTTCTATTCGAGGTGCTCTGCTATTCGCGAAAAGTGCACCCACACCGTTTCAATTTCGAAAAAGGTTCAAGGACCACGGCCTCCTCGGCCTCCTACGGGCAGCTATCGGTCCTACGCGGTCCTGGCCCTTACAAGGCCTCAAAACCTCAAAATGCCCACCCTCCCGACAACCACCGTCGTTGAAATTTGATTGACGTTGAAATGTCTCAAGGGGGGAAAACGCAACTCTGAAGGGCTGCGAACATTTCAACGTCAATCAAATTTGCAACCCGTCAGGGTTGCGTTTTCCCCCCTTGAGATATTTCAACGTCAATCAAATTCGCAGCCCGTCAAGGGTGCGTTTTATGCCCTGGGAACATTGCGTTTTTTATGCCCTGGGAACATTTTTCGTCGTCGTCACCAAACGGTGCGGTAGTTGGAAGGGTGGTGTATTTGTTGGGGGTCCAATTCGTGGGAAATAGGTAGTTCAAGGAAGTGCAGGACCGGTAGCTGCCCGTGGCATTAGGGCCTTGAAATTTCGAATCTGAAACGGCGTGGACCGAGGCCCTGTGGTGAGTTAGGGCGGGGTTTTAGGGGGGGCGCCGACTGGAAGGCGAGAAAAGATCTGAAAATTTTCGGGCAATTGGTATGATGGTAATTTGGCAGGAACGCAATGATAGAGTATTTAATGAGAAAGAGTGGCTAAACAATTGACTGAGGGCGTCCTTCCTGCGTGGCCTTAGAACTGCAATTTTGGCCGACTGGAGACGGAAGGTGACTTCAGCCAATAGTGAGGCCTGTGGACTGGCTTGGTTCTGTGAAACATGGTGCCTGCAGGGCTCAATTGCAACAGTGGAGAAAGCAGAGAAACTTGTGCTGCAGGAATGGTTATTTAAAGATAGAAAGTACGAAAGGTAGACCAAATGGAATACTAACCTGCTTCGCTCGGTTATGGTTCGTTCACAAGTAGACAGGCAAAGGGAAAGTGGTGGATGGAGCTTGATGCCGGTAGTTCAGGGTCCTAGGGGACCCTGGTGGCCGGTTGTTAGGCCACTTTCAGCGTTCTGTTACTAAGTAGTAGTATGAGTTGGTACGGGTAATGTTAGTTAGGACTTCCTGCACCAGAGTTGGTTTTTTCTCTCTGCCTTTGTTGCTTTTGGATTGCTGATTCAGTAGAATAGATAGCTAGGGTTGTTGTGGGGGAGGGCCTTTTTTTAAGCCCAGTAGGAGGTAGCTTTTGGTTTGTTAGGATTTATTGCCCTGAAGGACGGCTTCATTTCGTTTTTTTTTTGTTTTTTAGGGGTTGGAAATCTCAGTGCAGCGGTCTGGAGTTGGCCATTTCTGCAGCTGGAGTTATTCCAACACCCACACCTATGATGGGTAAACGTCTCATTCTTTTGGTCACGAATTCCGGGTTGTTTGTGGAGGATTCCCGGCCTCCTCTTGGTTTCTGCTAATAACAACTACCTGTTTTGTATTAAAAAAAAAATAAAAAAAAATTGATATCGGGTAGGCCAGGTCGTGATCTTTCCAAGAAAAATATCAATAAAATAAAATAAAATCGTTTAGACCATGAAATAAATGCCTCACCAATTCGTCACTTTTTCCATTTTTGGCACACGACAACTTGTGGGCCAACGGGAAAAGTACCCCCATTTCAAAGATTTTTCACGCTCAAAAGAACTCGTAAACAAGTCTGAAAATTTGAGGGTCCGTAGATTTGGTCATGATCTTTTCAGGAAAAATATTTTTAAAAATTGAAAAAATTGTGTCAACAGCGAAATAGCTTATAGCGCAAATTCATCCCATTTTCCATATGCACCACTCTGCCGGTTCTCCACTCTGTATTACTGGTACGCCTCATGGACCTGTGCTACCGGTCCCCCGAATTTCCAACGTCGGGTAGAGTGGTGGCTTGAATTCGGAGCCTGTCGTGGTAGAAATCGAAACAGGCCAAAAGCAGCGGCGGCCGCTCCCGTTCCCTCTGCGTTCACAAAGTGATAGTCTCCCTGTGTGCGCGGGGAGCGTGGTGCCTTATCGATCGAGGCGTTTTGACAAAGTGGCACCGCTCCTGATTTTTTTTTTTTTTTTTTTTCTCTCTCTCTCTCTCTCTCTCTCTCTCTCTCTCACACACACACACACACACACACACACACACACACATACACACACACACACACACACACACACACGTCCACAACAACATCAACAAACAAACTACGGGCTGCGCACCCATGCCCTCACGGTAAGTCAATTTCATTTCAATGTCGGTGGTCATCGGGAGGGTGGGTA